AGGTTCATATGTAATGTAAGACCATGTATAAATGTATCTGAACATCATGTATAAAATATATCTGAAGTCTCTCTTCATTAATAGTTTGGTTGATTGTGATGAAGCTGAGAAATTGCTGTAAGAAAGAAGTTTGGATACTTTTTCTTCCTTTTTTCCTATATGGCATTTGTCATCCTTTTTTTGACAGTGTAAATTTAATAGTGAACACTGATATATTTTCTTGTTTGTCATCATTTGAGAATATATAGTAAAATTCACACATGAGACACTGTGTATAATGATTACTTTGGTGTAATTCTTCATAACTTGGTATAGAAAAAGAACAAGTTAAGGATTACTTAGCTACAAGATTAACTCTGTAATAAGTGTGATAGTGATTATTTTCAAGTTAGGAATAGAAATGATACATTCAGGACCATTTAACAAAGACAGTGATAATTAGGCTTAAAGGCTGATAATTGGAGAGGTAATAAGTTGAGGCATTCATATACTTCTTGTTTACATAACAAGTAAAGGAAAATTAGATTTCTTCCACAAAAGAAATACTCCAAGGATTTTAAATCTCTATAGTAAGGGTGAGAAAAATGCTATTAAAAGTTAATCATTTTGTTGTCTGGTCTACCTCTGTTTTTTGCACATTTTTTTACTTAAGCACTTGTCAAATGATATTTTACTTCTTCTTTTCTAAACTGTGACCTCTTTGAGTGCAGGTTCTGTATAGTTGCTAGCACATAATAGGTACTCAGATATTTACTGAATTGAGTTAAATTGGGTTAAGATGCTGCCCTCTAGTACTCAGTCTAGAGAGCAGGCCTTGCATGAGTTTCCCTGTGGGGGTATATTGGAGCAAAGAGTGAAAATCAAGTCCTTGTCTCAATCTTTAGGACTGGAAAAGCCAGTCATGTAAGAAGAGAAGTGGGGCTTGGAGGGTCTCAAATCTGGACATTTGCCCAACATTGGAATGAGCTTCCTGCTTACTTACTTCATATATTTCTTTTCTAATATTTGATGGCTAGAATCATGCCTATGAGGTTGAGGGCCAAGAACATCTATAAAAAGGAGTAATACTAATTAATACTTGCCATTTTAAACTCTGATATTGTACAGCGAGTTTCCTTATTGTGTGCCAGATTTGGGAGGGGGGTTATTACCCTTTTCCTCAGTGATAAAATGTCATCATTTTTAAAGATGTCAAAAAAGAGAATTTTTGGTATTTCTTGAGTTTTTTAAATTCAACTAAACACTTTCGGATTGATAAATCTGCCAAATCTACATAATAGCTTTAAGTCGTTGAGAACAGTTGTATACGTCCCAAAGGATAGAAGAACAAAGGTGATAACACATAGATAAATGTTATAAACAGTGTTATGATACTTTTACATATATGCAAATAGTCAATTTTTGAAATATTAACCCTGAGCTAGTGATATTATCACCAAGGTAGTATTAATGTTTAGACTATATTTCTGATCTTGTTGCCTACCTAAAGTTCAGCTATTTTATACTATAAAGGGTCAAAGCAAAGGACTTTGAGATCTAAGCCAGAAACCCAATACTATCAGAACTGAAAAGTGTTTTCTTGAAATACTAGTGTTAGCAATAAACCTTTAGAATCCAGTGGCTTCTTCAGATACAATTACTGTTAGGTGGCAACTCCTCTAAGATAAACATTGCATTAATGTGCATATCTTAACCCCCAGGGTTTAAAGTAACAAAAGGAAGTAGGAATGGAAAGGACATTGGATGCATGCTGACTTGCATGTTTGGGGGATTAATAAAAATTGAGGTCAGCAGGAGTCCCAGGATGCAGGACAGATCAAGGAAGGAAGCACACCATGGAGGTTGTGTTCCTTTCCTACTGACAACAAGATGAGCAGCTGGAGAGGAAGGTGGCTCTTCTGTTTAGTGCTTTCTGTAGTTCCTCTCTGTCTGAATGGTTGGCTTGTGGCTGATCACTACTTTTATTTCATTCATCAGAGAGGAAAACTCCACTTTAATGTTGCTCAATATGATAAAAAGTAGCATCTGTAGCACCATGCCTCGTACATAGTAGGACTGACTGACTGAAAATCAGACTAGTGTCTCATGTCAGTAGAGTGTCTGGAACATTCAGTTCCTTGGACAAATTTAGGCTTGCAGCACTTAATCTGTTGTTTGAAATTGTGTCTGTCAAATTGTATTGATGAAATCTCATTGTATTTCTAAATAAGAACAGGCTAAATAGGAAT